TGGTGGTGGCTTTGGTGACTTCGGTGGAGGATATGGTGGTGGCCTTGGCGGCAGCCTCAGTGGTGGCGATGGCGGCCTCCTCTCTGGCAACGAGAAGATCACCATGCAGAACCTCAACAGCCGCCTGGCCTCCTACCTGGAGAAGGTGCGCACCCTGGAGGAGGCCAACGCTGACCTGGAGGTGAAGATCCGCGACTGGCATCTGAAGAAGAGCCCAACCAGCCCGGAGCGGGACTACAGCTCCTACTTCAAGACCATCGAGGACCTCCGGGACAAGATCTTGGCGGCCACCATTGACAACAACCGGATCATTCTGGAGATTGACAACTCCAGGCTGGCTGCCGACGACTTCAGGCTCAAGTATGAGAACGAGCTGGCCCTGCGCCAGAGCGTGGAGGCCGACATCAACGGCCTCCGCAGGGTGCTGGACGAACTGACCCTGATGAAGACCGACCTGGAGATGCAGATTGAGAGCCTGAACGAGGAGCTGGCCTACCTGAAGAAGAACCACGAGGAGGAGATGAAGGAGCTCAGAAACCAGGTGATCGGCCAGGTCAATGTGGAGATGGACGCCACCCCAGGCATTGACCTAAGCCGCGTGCTGGCAGAGATGAGGGAGCAGTACGAGGCCATGGCGGAGAAGAACCGCCGGGATGCCGAGGAATGGTTCAACAGCAAGAGTGAAGAGCTGGCCAAGGAGGTGTCTTCCAGCACTGCCAGTATCCAGACCAGTAAGACGGAGATCACGGAGCTCAGGCGTACGCTCCAGGGTCTGGAGATCGAGCTGCAGTCCCAGCTGAGCATGAAAGCCGGGCTGGAGAGCACGGTGTCGGAGACCGAGTGCCGCTACGCCCTGCAGCTGCAGCAGATCCAGGGCTTCATCAGCAGCATCGAGGCCCAGCTGAGCGAGCTCCGCAGTGAGATGGAGTGCCAGAGCCAGGAGTACAAGACGCTGCTGGACATCAAGGCGCGGCTGGAGCAGGAGATCGCCACCTACCGCAGCCTGCTGGAGGGCCAGGACGCCAAGCTTCCCGGCTTCCCCGCAGGAGGAACCATCTCTACTAGCAGCACCACCTCCACTCGCCGCATTTCAGAAAAAACTAGGCCTTAAATCTGCCGGGCAGCCCCTCGCTGTCTTCAGTGCCCAGAGGAGAGAGCTGACGGTTCCCTGCAGGAGCAAAGGAGGGACTGCAGGACCCGAGGCTCGGCCACTCCACTCTCGGCCCACACCCTCCCAAGGGCAGCCACTCCCCGCCCTTGTCTCTGGGTCTGCTTCCTCTTCCCCCTGACCTGCCTCCTCTGATTCCTCAGCTTCTCTACTAAAAAGAAAAGCCAATTCAATAAAGTTT